GTTTTGAAAGGTGATTAGTTTGAAAGTGTAATAACGACTAAACGATTTGAAGTATTAATTTGAAAGTTCTGAACCTCTTTACGTTTACTCTTCATTTTCATTAGTGTAGTCTCTGAATAAATAATTCTAATATATAATGTGGATACAACTAGAAAGATAAAGTCCGATTGTGTTAGAAACTTGTGTAAGAAGTAGCGATGTAAGCGGCAATTCTATTTGATATTCCATTTAGAATTGTTTATATTTTATTTCAGTGTCGTATTATATCTTCATTGTAGACACCAGGAATATTTGCCATATTTTATATTCGGACGTTGTAGTTTTTTTTATATAGCCTTGTAGTTCTATCCACCAAATGTTCATTATAACAGTTACACACACATATTTATTGATAATAGTGTATTCTATAGTCTTTCCCAAGTTGTATTAACCGACTAAAAAATGAAAGAGATTTTTAAAATTATTTTTCGATATTTTCGTGGTACGTTAACCTGTCGGATCCCGGGATTACATATATAATATATGATTTGATTTTAAATGATCATTCCTTTGGAATATTCGAGATTACCAGATATGAATTTAAAAAATTCTCGGAAGTGATTCTAACAAAGATTTATAAAAAAAAATAATCTGTTATAATAATTTGTCATTAATAGTTCGAAATCTGTAAAATTTTGTTTTATTTTTGATTAGATAGCTTTAACTGGGAAAGATTCGTAAATAAATTTTTTCCAATATTTAATATTAATTGTGTCGTATATATATCCAAGTTTCGTAGAAACAATAGAGAATTGCTTCAATGTGATGCTTCTGACACAAATGATCAGTTGCACCATTCAACTATGCTTCCAGACTTTCCAAGCTATCATGGTACGAAAGAAATCACACCTTCCTCTAAATTTATATTTGTACAAAAAAAAAAAAGATATATTTCTGATGTAGTTTAATTTATAGTCATTTGGAGAGGAAGCAGTGGAGTACATGATTTTCGAACTTACATTCCTGACTATCTATGTAGTTTGCGTGATGGCGCAATTGTACCTGTATTGTTACGTGGGCGAAAAACTTATGTGTGAGGTATCGTTTATGAGAGAAAAATTAATCAGTCGATAAGAATTAAATTAATTAGCCTATGTCTTTTTTGATAAAAAAATTTCGACATTTAAATGTTCATAAACATGTCGATTTGCGAGTAATTTAAACACGTATTTGGAATTTTTCAGAGTACGGATATAGCTGACACGGCATACCATTGCGAATGGTACAATTTACGTCCTGAGAACGCGAGATTACTTATAATTATTATGTGTCGAGCGAGAGCATCACCGTTCAGGATTACAGCTGGCAAATTTTGTTGGTTTACTATAATATTATACTCTCAGGTGAGTGTAAACGAATTCCGACGCAGTGTGTGATTCTTCAGATCTTCAAATTTTGTCTGATTTTCCAATGAAATCTTCCTCCTCATACGAAGATCGCGATCCTGAAAAATCAGTCATAAAGTAAAACACATCTGATTTGAGTCAGTATTAATGAAATCCTGACCAGTCAATATTCTCACTATTAATGTTTCAGAGAATTTTATATAACACACACGAGATATAAAAAATTTCTATAAATGTTCGAATACTTTCGCGAGCAATCTTCCTGTACATATTTCAGGTTCTGAAAACCACGGTGTCATACATTTCCGTTCTATACGCAGTCAACAGTTAACAGAGAAACAGATCCTGTACCTAATTACGATTCTTTAACATTTTACAACTATCCGTCGCTTCAATAGTACAAATGCAACAGAGGAAATATTTTAGTATCTGTCTCAAAATAGTAGACTATACCTCATAAAGTTAAGTGGCGTGTTGAACAATTAGGAATCGTGGGATAATAATAAAGTTTAAAAGTACTAAATATTATTAGTGTTAAATGTTAACAAGGTCTATTTTGCAAAACCTCGAAAGTATCATTTTTCTTTCTTTTCGATCCTCAATTCAGTTCTTCAATTTCTTTTATCAAGCTTATTCGTTACAAACGATCTACAGACGTTCATGAATATTTAAGATAGATAGTGGTTACGATACGATCAGATCAAATCAAGTCAATCCGTTGTATCTAATGAATGTGATCCAATGAATGTATCTACAATACTTGGTTAGATCAAGTCAAATAAAAAATTATTGTATATTAAATCAGCATTAAGCCTGATTCATGCTAATGATGAAAAGCAATATTTCTTACGCTAGATTTGCCTGTCCGATTGCAAAAAAAGACAAAAAGAAAACACAAAAGAAATAAAAATAACGTACACATATATTTTCTTATTGCAAATCGCAATGCAATCGTGTCATTCGTGTAAATTCGGCTTTAATCTGTGTTCTGTGAAATCTGACGATCCTTACACTGCAATTCATTTATTGACATATATCAATGCTTCTTCTCAATGTTCAATAATTCTCAGTTGAAGATTAAATCAAATTCTATCAAGGATACTACGGTTTTTATCGATTGCTTAAATCGATTGAACAAGAGGTTTTTATGAATGTTCTTATTGAATATATGTGTGAGCGTTCAGACGATCGACATATATTGTCAATATTTCAGGATTGTTAACATTGTCGTAAGTAAAAAATCCTATTCGATCATATTGATCGCGATCTAACCGTGCATACGTTGACACCTAGTGTGAATCAGGCTTAAACTTCATGATCCTGGAACCTTTATAATCAATAAATATTGTCAATATTTCGAGGCTCTCAACATTCTCGTAAATAAGGATCTCAGATCTTTTTTGCATAATGTTGAAAATTTTGAAATATTCAGAATAGAAATTGTTCATCTGAACGACCTGTAAGTGATGATACTAACCAGAGTACCAGGTTAACTGACACAGTCTAACTATACCTTGACCGCTAGTATGCGTCAGGCTTAAACTTTCTTGAAGAAATATTAAATAAATCAAATGAAAAATTTAGCCTACAAAAATTTATGCATGATGTATGAAATTACCTATGAAATTTCATGAAAATAAGAAAACAATAAGTGCAATGAGAAATCTAATGTCAAAAGTACAAAAATTTAATATTTAATAATTATCGTTCCATTTTTATTCATATATATCTATATAGTCGTCTCTGATGGATAGACAAAGAAATACAAGAGAAAATTATTTGTTTCATTATTTAAATCTAATATAGAGGTATCAATTAAACTTGTACTCTCTTGTCCTCCCATCAGAGAGATTTAATTCTTTTAATTTTGAAAAAAACACATATAATATCTGTTCTAAAACATTTTGGCCTTTAGCACTACAACAAATAACAAACGAGCCATAACATTAACATCTGCTCATTCTAAAAGTACGATAAGAGGAAGTCTGACAGAGCTATATATTATTATCATATCAGAGGTATTCGTATCACTACATGTAACCGCAGAATGTAAAAACTTTACGAAAAAAAGAAATAAAATCTTTAATTTTGTTATGTTTTGCAATATATATTTTGTATTTCAGTCTCTCAAATTCAATTCAAACAGAACAAGTGTCGTTCAAATTGTATAACGATATCAATTTACGTAAAACTTACAAATATTATACTTATCATTTGCACTTGCATAATTCCAATGGCAACACTACGAGTAATAATTATACTTTTCGTTATACGATGAAACTTGTTTTTACTTGCATCTTTTTTCGCGTACGTGCCTGGAAGAAAAGGAATATAGACTAAGAAAGTTGAAGAAACGCGAGCGTCATCTTTTTTCCTCCCCTTGTTCCCTCGTACTTTGGTCATAAATGATTACAAACAAAAATTCGCGACAACCAAGCCGTAATATTACATTTGACTCAAGTGTACAATTGAGAACGATACCGAACTACTCTGTTCACGAATAATTGATGTCATATGCGCATTCTGAATGCACGAGAAGGGCATGCGCCGACAAGAAGGCTGAAATAGCTTTTGAATATGAGAACAGTCATGGGGAAAATGGCCACCATAGATATCCAACGAGGTAACTCTACCTATAAATTAATAAATATTTATAGAAAGATAGTAGCATTTACGAAAGCGTACGCTTCGTCATCGTAATTGACAAAAATAAGTAAGCAAATAAGTGAGTAAATAAGTAAGTGAAATAAATAATCATTAAAATGACATGGAAAATAGATTTTTAAAGAACAGCGTGTACAAAAAATAAATGTCGCATATTTCATCAGTCCATCGTTTTTATATTGTGATTTTAGAAAACTCCCATTACTTTAGACACAACTCTTACAATTAGAGAAACCATATTCTATCCTCTGATTTCAAAATTCCTCTCAACTTCCAATTACTATCAGAGAGGACGAATGTTTAAGATATTTAATTTTATTTTCTATCTTATATTCTCTCTCTGATAGAGATTTATAGTAAAATTAAATCGAATTGAGAGTTTGCAAGTAAAAAATTAAGCAATATGAGATCAAAATTTTTATGGCTCCCAACGTCCAGTAATGATGTTGAATAGCTATTCAAATAGATCTAAGAGTAAGAAGAAATAAAAAATTGTATTTTTTATAAAATAAAAAAACAAATAACGTCCCACTTCAAGATTCGGGTTTATTTTTAAGCAGCTATCTCCATGACAGATGCGAAATAAAATAAGAAATGGTAATTTAGAATTGGTAAGTGAGCATCGATATATCTCAAGTAAAGTAAAAAGCGAAGATCATCTTTTTAAATAATATTGCAGATAAAAAAAAAAAAAGGAGATACCGTGTGTTTCAGCGGTCTATAATAATTTTTTGAACACCTATCTGTAACAGATTTGAACTACCAGTTCGGTTGGAACCGTTACATAATGAAGTACGTGGGTATCTGGCCGGAAGAGAGGAAATGGAAACGGCCTTCGAGTTACGTTGTTCTGATACCGTGTTTCATGATGCTGTGTTTCGGGTGTGGCCCACAAACCATTGATCTGCCATTCATCGCGCACGATTTGGATCTGCTTGTCGAGAATTTGTCGATGGCTAACATGACTGTCACGATTGCGCTCGTGAAGACTATGATTTTCTGGACGAATGGCGAATGTAAGAATTTCATGGTTTAAACGGTATTAAATTTTTATCAATAACGAAGACCTTTGTATTCTATATTTTATTGATGAAAATGCAGAAAGTAGAACAGATCGCACGATTTCATAACAGCCTGAGAAACACGTCTGGTTTCTAGATTTATGAGACCAACTTCTAGGTGAACAATTGTATATCTTAACAAATTGAAAGCACTCTCACGAACAGCAAAAGAGAAAAAAAAAATTTTTTTACTACCGAGTGAAAGGCGAACTTTCAAGACGTACTCTAGCCGCCATTTTCCCCTTCTTCCAAGCATTGAAGTCTCTGCTGAGATGCATAGCCGAGGACTGGGCCACGGTGGAGACGAAAACTGGACGAGAAAGAATGGTGAACATCGCGAGCATCAGTAGAAAGATCACGATAGCATGCACGATTATGTGCGAATTCGCGGCCGTTTTCTTCGTGTTTCTACGATTTTTTCTCATAAAACGCGACAGCGAACTGCTCTTACATGGCTATTTTCCTTACAACACAACGATCAGCCCAAACTTCGAGCTGACAGTGACTGCACAAGTAATAGCCATTATATACACAGCAGCTTCGTACTCAGCTGTGGACACTTTTATCGCTATGCTGGTTTTACACGCTTGTGGACAACTTTCGAATCTAAAGTACGATTTGAGGAAGGTCCATTCGTGCGATAATTCGAACGATTTACAAATGAAGTTGAAGAAAATTGCTCAAAAGCACGATTATGTCAATAGGTTCGTACCAAAGTTATCAGTTATCAGGAGAACTTTTTGAGAAGATGGTAAAAAGAAAAAGAGAAGTAGAGAATGGAAAATGTACATTGTAATAAGCGTCTTTGTCAAAGAGCGAAGAACTTGCAAAATTTAAAATCTCTCTACGTTCATATGTCATTTTTTTCACTTTAACTCTAATGATTGCAGCAAAGAAAGTATAATATCTCTATTTGTCTCCTACAATATCTCCTATATATTTTATTTATTTAGACACGAATACAATAATTATTAGTAATTCCAATG